CACGGGCCCGGGAACCGGAAGTCAGCCTGCCACGTCACAGGAGGGACCGCTAGCGCACGGGCCCGGGAACCGGAAGTCAGCCTGGCACGTCACAGGAGGGACCGCTCGCACACGGGCCCGGGAACCGGAAGTCAGCCTGCCAGGTGCACGTCACAGGAGGGACCGCTCGCATACAGGTCCGGGACAAAATTTATCTGCAAATGCTTATGATCAGAATGGATCTCTGTTTTGGACTTTTGACTTGATGCAATCATAGTCAGCCCTTCATATCTGAGGATTCAACCAACTGCGGAATAAAAATATTTGAATCCCGAAAGTTCCAAAGGCAAAAATTTGCCATGCCAAGCACTATGCTAAATTAACACAAATGAATTAAGTGGTGTACATACTTTTTCCCTTGCCAGTATTCCCTAAACAATACATAAAAATAAGACTTTTTCACATCATTTACATTGTATTAGATATTATGAGTAATCTAGAGATGATTTAAAGTACAGACGCTCCCCGGGTTACGAGGGGGTTACAGTACGTTCTCATGATTCATGAACCTACCGTAAGGTGAAAATATCGTAAGGCAAAATGCATTTTAATACAGTAAATCTAACCTAACAACATCATAGCCTAGCCTAGCCTACCTTAAACATGCAAATTAGAACACTTACATTAGCCTACAGTCGCACAAGAACACTAACACAAAGCTTATTTTATAATAAAGTGTTGAATATCTCATGTAATTTATTGAATAATGTACTGAAAGTGAAAAACAGAATGGAACTGAAATACCATTGAAAAGTTTAAATATCGTGACACGGACCACTGTAACCTGGGTAGGTTACGGTATACAGGAGGATGTGTGTAACCCGGGGAGGTTATGGTATACAGGAGGTTGTGTGTAGGTTATGTCATTATATATAAGGGACTTGAGCATCTGTGGATTTTAGTATCCATGGGAGGATCCTGGAACCGATCTCCCAGGAATACTGAGGGACAATTGTATTCCTTTTTACAAATGAAACCTTCCAGTTACTGTTAAATTAACAGTAGTTAATACTTTTTTAACATTAATGTACGGAACAACCTGAAGCTGACTTCAGCAGGCACCCTGCGTTTTTCTGGCATGAGTGAGCGTGAGCTTACTTGCGTGCCTGTGAGTATCCCCACCCCCGCCTTTCCGGCAGCCCCGGGCCCCCACCCCGGTGACTGGACGATGCCGTGCAGCCGGAACGGGAGCGACCTCTTGCCCCTTCCGGCTCTCCGTCAAGCCGCTGCATTGTGCCCCGGCGGCCACAGGCTCAGCCGGCCCCAGTCCATTGTTGGGACTCGCCTGTCCCTCACCAGCATATCTGCGTGTGCGTGTGTTTGGGAGGGGGAGGCAGTGAGGTCACCAGGGGTCATCAAGGGCCAAGCATCCAGGACCGGGCAGGAAGGGAACCAATTCTAAGAGGGAGGCGCAGTACTTGTGACTGACGGCCATAGCACTCCAAAAAGGAGAGTACAGACTGTACACCCCTCCCAGTCTGGGCGGTGCCAATCCCCCCCAGAGGGGAGCTGTCCTAACATGCCCTCACTCACACCTGAACGGATCGGGATGATTGCTCATGTCACTGCTAGGGTTGCAAAGGGCTGGAAAATTTCTGGAAATTTTCCTGAAACTTTCCGTTCCATGGGAAGTTAAGCTGGGGAATTTTGGAAATATTCCTCATTAGAAACTTTCCATGGGAATTAACGGGAAAGTATGGGAATTAACAAGAATATTCCTAGAATTTTGCAACCCTAGTCACTGCCGAGCTGCTGCTGAGCCCCTCCTTAGCCTAAGCAGCTCCCTGCTCAGCCTGTGCTAAGCCACCAGAGTGCAGTGAAACACAGGGGCTTAAATCACTGCATCCTTGCACACGGACTTTTCATTGTTATGTGTAGAAAGCAGGGCCTGTTTAAAGAGCCCCCTGGCTGTTTTCTTTTCTCCTTAGACCATGAAAACACAACATAGCTCAAATGCAGGCGTTGTTAATCAGTGAATGGTCCATCAGCAGGACAAAATATACACAAGTTCTCGGGGTGTTTACTTATTTGCCTGGATTTTTCTTATCACCACCTCTGACAGAGAGCGCCAGGCTTCTCACCAATCCACACACGGGGCATGGCGGTTGCCTAAAGTAACATGACCCTCAGTGATAGCAGCCAGCGTGACAGCCCTGGGAGACTGAAACCAGAAAGGGGGGGTCAGGGATAGTATCGGTCACCTCGATCAACCTTTCCGAAATTCTAACACAGACAGTAATTCTGATGAATATAAAACGATCACAAAATTGTTAACCTAAATTAAAAACTTTAAAAATAAAATAAAACAGGGACCACGAGTCCCTTTGAAATCCTACTCAGAGTCATGTTGCTCTTCTAGAGACACGAGCAAAGGCTGGGATGAATGGGCTTTAGTGCCATTACCAAGTCGGGGGGGGGGGGAGAGTGAGTGACTGACTGACTGACATTATTTTTCCCTGGAAGGAAATTCAAGGGGACAAAAACAGCCATTGGTATATTTAAACAGACAGGAAAATAAATATAAACATTATAATTCAAAAGTAATAAATTACATGTTAAGTCTTACTGTGCACAAAGAATAAATACATATGTGCAAAACACCTGTATTGTGCCAACGGTGCTGTATAGTAAAGAGGAACCACAAATGCAAAATGGACATTTACAATCAATAACAGGGCGAATTATGCGCTACAAACTGACTGTGCGATGAGCAATAAATAAATAGGCATTACTCATGATGGATAAGAGCTTTTTCCTCATTTTCCCATCCATCACCTGCTCCAGGGGGTCAAGGCCAATCCTGAGCATGGAGCCACCCCCCCAGAAAGTCTGTATCAGCCTCCCACACGAACCAGCGGACCTGAGCCTTCTCAGGAAACACAGCCAGCTCTGGAGCTTCTTGTGCAAGGCATCAGTGTTTGTGTCCCAGCCCAGTTTACTGTCCAGATGAACCTCTAGGTACCTGTAGGCCTGAACAACTTCAATGTCCGCAGCCTGTATGCTGACAGGGGTATGGGGAAACCAAGTCTTCTGGTGCACCAGCATGTCCTTGGTCTTACAGATGTATATATGGAGGTGCTTCTGCTGACACCCTGTGACAAAGCTCTCCACCAGCCTTCTGTATACCCCATTCTCCCCCCTCACTAATACATCCCACTGTAGCAGTCTTCAGAGGACTTCTACTAATGGTATTCCTTGGAGTTGCACCTGAAGTCAGAGGTGTAGAAGGTAAACAGGAATGGAGTAAGTACAGGTGCTTATGGGGACCCTGTGCTACTCACCATCTGCTCAGATACACAGTTCTGTAACCGAACAGTTCTGTAAGGTAGGGGATGATCCAGGACAGCAGAGAATCATCCACCTGTGGTGCCCTCAGCATCTCTCTGAACA